GAGAGCCCACAGAAGTCCTCTTTTGAGTGTCTGGGTTCTGGTCCGTCTCACTCAATGTGGCTTCTACCCGAAGGGCCCTTCTCTGCATGGTGTGCCAGGTGAGCTTGGCTGCCTTCCCCGTGAACACCTCTCCCCTAACAGAGTAATGGAGCAGAACACCACAAACGCTTCTCACAGATAGCAACGGTTACTTAGCATCATACAGAAGGCAGGTGAGAATGTTCTAGATCCTTACTGGCAGTCTCTGATGGCAGAGATCAAAAGGTACCCTGAGGCAATGAAGCACAGACCCTCAGAGGGAGGAGAAGAGGCTGGACCAGAGGGCGGCAGCCTGAGAGAATGGCTGGTCTTGCTACCATGGAGGCCGGGATGCTGCAATGCACCAGGCAGAGGCTCTGTCCGTCGCTTAGTTAACAAACATTACTGGGCATCCACTTTGTGCTGGTGAGGTAGCTATGAAAGAGGGCCTCGTCATTTAGTGAGTAGTCAGACAAGTAAACAGGAAGTACGGTGAGGGTTGTAAATACAGTAACAGCAGTGGCCCGGTGCCATTGGGTCAGTGATTTCAGAGTCCCGTCCCTTGTGAGAGCCAGGGTGATGATCACACGTAATAAATATCCACCAGCACCTGCTGTGTGCCAGGCGCTGTGCTGGGTGCTGAGGAGGCAGAGGAGGCAAACATAAATGAGCTGACTTCTGCCACCTAGTGGAAGGGGACAGCTATATTAAAAAAATGCCACAAAGGCAGTCAAATGTCACATGTCGCCAGACTGCCTCTGCTTCCATTTAATGTGACGGGAGTCATTATCATCTAATTCCTCAAGCTAGAATCCTGGACATTATCTCTGACTCCAAGATTTATGTCTTAGACAAACCGTAAAACACCCAGTACAGGTTGGGTTAGAGGGAAGGGAGACTGGAGGCAGGGAGACCAGCTGGAGGCCCATGCGGTCACTCATTGAGAGACGATGACAGTGGCCTGGATTAGGCTAGGAGCCTTGAAAATGGAGAGAGGTGGGTTGATCTGAGGACTGTTTAAGGATAGGATCAATAGAAATTAGAGGCTGATTAGAGGAAGGGGTAAGAATGAAGGAGGAGTCAGAATAATGCTAGGTTTCTGGCTGGGCATCTCTGACTGCAGTGCCACTTAATGAAATGGAAACTCAAGCGGGGGGGGGGAGGTTGTTCTGTTTTGCACATGTTGCATTTTAGACGTCTTCATGGGGAGATGTCCGGTAGGGGGTATTGTAAAGTGAGTCGGAGGCTCGGAGGTAGATCTGGACTGAAGTTAATAGAAGCCACTGGCACGCTGGAGCATTCCCATGGGAGTGGACAGCATCACCCGGGTAGAGCACAGACACAGAAAAGTGGAGCAAAAATTCATTCAGTCATTTCCTGAGCACCTGCTACCAGGTATAGACGCTGCAACTATAGCAGGAACACGGAACTCATGTTCTTCTGTGGGAGACAACCAACAGATAGAAACACGGTAGCCTATCAGACAGGAGCAAGGGCAAGGAAGAAAGGTGACATCTGGGGCTGGTCTTGTGGTGCAGTGGGCTAAGCCATAGCCTGAGATGCTGACCTCCCATATGAGTGTGGGTTGGAATCCCGGCTCTCCACTTTCAGTAGAGCTCCCTGTTAATGTACCTGGGAAGGCAGCAGATGATGGTGCATGTACTTGGGCCTCTATCACCCACAAGGGAGACCTGATGGAGTTCCAGGCTCCTGGCTATGGCCTAGCTCAGCTCTGGCCATTGCAACCATTTGGGGGTGTGAAGATATCTCTGGCCGGCGCCGCGGCTCACTTGGCTAATCCTCTGCCTGTGGTGCCAGCGCTCTGAATTCTAGTCCTGGTTGGGGCGCTGGATTCTGTCCCAGTTGCTCCTCTTCCAGTCCAGCTCTCTGCTGTGGCCAGGGAAGTGCAGTGGAGGATGGCCCTGCACCCCATGGGAGACCAGGAGAAGTACCTGGCTCCTGGCTTCGGATCGGTGCAGCGCACCAGACATAGCGGCCATTTGGGGGTGAACCAACGGAAAAGGAAGACCTTTCTCTCTGTCTCTCTCCCTCTGTCTAACTCTGCCTGTCAAAAAAAAAAAAAAAAAAAAAAGACTTTGAAAAAGATATCTCCGTCTCTCTCTCTCTCTAACTCTGCCTTTCAAATAATCAGAAAAAAAGAAAGTGAAGCAGGGTAAGGAGCTGTGAAGAGGGACAGGAGGTCAGGAAACCTCTCTGAAGACTGGACGATGGCTAGACAATGTGATAAAGTGAGGAGGACACCCTCAGGGCTCTGGGAGGGAGGAGGGTCCCAGGCAGAGGCAACAAGTTCAAAGGCCCCAGCGGGGACCACACTCATATATTCAGGGAGCAGCAAGGTCGACAGGGCTATAACAGTGGGGCAAGTGGAAGCCAGAAGCCAAAGGTCAGGTCACAGGGACATAAGGACACTGATTTTGTTCTCTGAGTGATAGGAAGCCCTGGGAAGGTTTGGAGCAAGGGATCACATAATCTGGCTTCTGTTTAAGGATTATCCTGGCACAGTATGATGAAGACTGTAGGAAAGGAAGCAGGGCCACGACTTGGTACACTTGGTGGTGGTGAGAGGTGCTGGAGGCCTGCATCGCACCCTCAGCCACGAAGGCGAGGGGACAAGTCGGGCGCCTTCGCTTTGGCTGATGTGTAAACAGAAGCGACAGGACTCGGAGGGGACTTCAGCACTAACCTCCGTCCTGCGCGAACTCCAGTCTCAGGAACATGCTTCACTGCCACTCATCCAACATGCCCGGCAAGCACGAGCGCCCACAGTGTGCACGGCCTGTTCCGGGGCAGCTCTGAGTGGACGGACGGACGAGACAAGTGATTTTCAGAGGTGGTGTTACCAAAAAGCCAATCAGGGTACTCTTATGGAAAGTGAGAGGAAGCGGGGAGCGCTGGTGACACCTGGGCCAAGTCCTAGGTGTGCCTCCCAGCTCTGCTGGGCGTTCACTGAGATAGTGGGTGGGAGAGTACACTGGCTGTGGCTCACTGCCATAGACTCCCTCACTGCTCAGCTCCCCTCCCTGTTACCCGAAACATGTCTGTCATTCCCAAGGAGACCTGAAACAGGGCTTCCCCTGTGCCGGGAAGCCCTTGGGGTACTACCTTCTCCAGCACCTGTCTCTGGGGGCCCTCACAAGATTATCCCAAAGACACCAGACCTTTCAGGAGCTCTTGGGATCCAGTTGGGATCTAGAACCACTATCAAGGGCAGGCCCACAGACCATCCGGGCTCTGCCACCCTGTTTAGACTATGAACCCCCGCTGGGGCCCAGGACAACGCAGGCAGAAGGCATCAAGTGAACTAGGACCGAAGGAGTGGGGAACAGAAACGCCCCCTTCTGCTTCCTTCTGTCATCTCCCACGGCCTCCCTTCTTGCGCTTCCTGTGTTTTCTCTCGGCAGCCCCACGCAGCTTCCAACGAGGCCTGCAGCGGCTGCCGCGGGAGGTAGCGTGCAGGCCCTGGGCCCGCCAGCGTGGGCTCTAGGCAGCCAGGCCCAAGTCAGCTGGCTTCGCCTGCAGCCCCACCCCGACAGGCGGTGCCTCTGGCAGCAAAGTCACGGCCCTGATTCCTCTGTCTCCACATTTAAGAACATCTCTAACTGCTCCTTGGATAGCTCAATTAGTAAAGTGAATATATTATATAAAGTCTAAAAGATTAAACTATCATCGTCAGCCCATAATTTCATGAAGAAGTCAGGGGACCGTATCCCTCTTATTAACTCTATAACAAATGTGATGAAAATGTTCAAATAGAATGTTAATGCAATGTTACGTGTAATTTTCCCAGGCGATTTTCTGCTGAAATATTTCTTTATTAATAGTAATTGAGGGTATAAATTATGAATGAGACGATTTTCTCCTTTCAGTAGGAAAGACGTACTAATGGCAATAATTCTTTATAATAATTTTTGGGGAGAGTGGGGCGGGGAGAGAGGCCGGTCTAAAAACAGACAAAAGCCCCTTCCGGCGCCTCCCCTGGGGGAGACGAGAGCTCCGCTACAGCCCAGCCCTCCGTGGCTCCACACTCCTCGGACCGCCCGCGAAGGAAGTCTTTGTTCTCCATCAATTTTCCAAAACCCCCCAAGGCCTGCTCAGAGGGCTGGAAGGAAGTTTTTGCCTCTCGTTCTGGAATGGAGTGGGCTCTGATGCCAAACTTTTCTCCTGGAAGCTGTGCCGTTGACAAGGCCACAGTAAGGCTCATGTGCTGGGCTTCCAGACCCAGCCAGCCGGTCTGCACCCGAGCTGTCTCTTGTGGCAGCCAGGACACCCAAGCAGGACTGGGCCCCCAGACCTTCCCATCTGAGCCCCCAGCCGACGTCATAATGAAAGAAAAAAAGAGAAGGGAGATCTTCTAAGCAGCACAGGTGTCTACGGGGAGGTGGGAATCCAGCCCAAGCGACCTTGCACATAGTTCCAAAGTGGGCCAGCCTCCAAGCCTCGCCTCTACAGGCCGCTGCTCTCCTGCCTTTGGGTTCCATCCTCACTGGTCCCCAGCCTGGGCATCCCCATCTGTCAAGAGCCAGCTGAGGCACCTGCAAGTAAGTAGTGGGGACATTACTTATGGATCTTAGTCACGTGGTCCCAGCTTCAGGAGGGCAAGGGCCAGAGAAACACCTGCTATAATCTGCAGAGTGGTAGGACTAGCACAGGCCTCACCTACCTCGTGCAGACTCTAGGCTAGGCACTGGGGCTACAAGAATGAAGGAACACTCTGTTCTCATGGTCACAGACAGGAAAGAACAGGTGCACAAATACCTATATGAAATACTGCGTGCAAATAAGCCGTGTCCTGTGCTACCTCAGGGGAGGCCTAGATTGAGTTCCCGGCTCTTGGTTTTTGCCTGGCCCAGCTCTGGCTGTTGTGGGAATTTGCAGAGTGAACCAGCAGACCAAAGATCTTTATCTGTCACTCTGCTTTTCAAATAAGTAAATGAATAAATAAAAATTAAAATAATCCATACTAGTTCATAGTGTGTGTTTATTGTCTTACTGCAATGTTAGGGGAACTGGCACCTGGCCAGTGTGGTTGCAGCAGAGTAGGTGTGGGGGCCAGGGCAGAGAGGTGGGGAGAGGTGGACACTGCAGCAAGTGCCCCAGGAGGATTCTCAGCCAAGAGGTACATGGGGGGACATGGTGATGCACCATATAACAGGACATGCAGGTTGAGGGAGAAAGGCAGCCTGGGGCCTGCCACTGAGCTGGGGACACTGAGGGGACTTGCAGGAGTGATGACAAGGTTCAACTGTGGACAAGTTGAACCTGAGCAGTCCGAGGATCAAACAGACAGGACGAGTCAGAAGCGCAGTGGAGTTCAGCGCCTCGGAGTGAGACTGGGCCCCAGCCTGGTTCCAGCAGGAGCCTCTGGGCTCGCACAGCACCTCGCAGGCTGGGTCGCATCACCTGTCACATGTCTGCGTCTCCTACTGCATGTGAGCTCCTGAGGGCAGAACTTGGCCTGGCCAATTTCCCAGCCTTCCGTCACCAGCACAAGAAGGCTGCACAGCTGATGAGAGAACGTGAATGAATGAAGAAGGGTGGAGGGCGTTGGGGCAACTGCTCCCGCTCTGTGAGGCTATCCCCTGTCAGTGGCCATCTCAGACTCTCTCTGGATTGTCCCTCAACAAAGGCTCTTCCTCCCACCACCTCCCCTCCCCAGGAAGGGTGGACTCTCTTCTGAAAGACCACCTGGGAAGAGATGCAATGACCTTAACAACCCCGGTGGCACTGGGCATTCCTGAGGTCACCCCGAGTGTGAGTGCTCGGCAGGGGAAGGGCTCCTCTTTTGTTCCCAGACTCCGGCTGGGAGGTGAGTGGTCAACTCCAGTCCCAGCCCAGGATCCCACACAGCCAAGAAGCTCACTCCCTGCCCTTCACGCTCTAGCCATGTCCTACTCCCCAGCAGCTGGCCAGACACAGGGTCACTGTAATTTGCACATTGTTTTGTTCAAAGCAACTCTTTCCAGCCTTCTGTCTGGACGCTTCCTGGTTCCCTGGCCAAAGGCTACAGGCAAGAATATCCCACCCTCTGCACCCCCACAGGGAGCACTGACCCATCAGTTCCAGCCCATTCCTAAGAACCGAGATTCCATGAGAGAAGTGCCTGATGCACACACTCCAGAAATAATTCCCCATCAGTTTTCTATGCCCTGTGCCATCTCTGGCTACTCAGGACTATTGTAGGAGTCCTTGGCAGGGGCAGGACCTGGGCCTATATAACCGGCTCGCTTAGCTTTCTGCTCTCTGAAAACAGCAGGGGGATGGAACACGGGCTGAAAATGGAGCCTTGTCAGTGATGACCTCAGAGTGGCTATTGTGACCTCTTGACCAGGGGTCACTGGGGTGACCTCCAAGGGCATCTCTGTGTCTCCCCAAGCAGGGTCCAGCCTCCAGAGGCTTCCTCTCCCTCCCTCACAGAAATCTATCCATTAGCAGCTGCCCTCCAAATCAGGGCAACGGATGTACCACTGCCCCAGACCCTTTGTCCAGCAGCTGGTCTGAGGCTTCTCCCGCTTCTGTTTCAGATCCATACCACGCAGAAGCGCTGGCCCATCTCACTCTCCTATCCTGTATTCATTACCAGGCCATTTGTGGGAAAGGCACGCTCAGCGCTAGCCCAAGGCAACCGATGGGGAGGGGGTGGGACTCTGACAGCTGGAATGGAGACCCTAACTCCAGAGCCGATATTCTCGTCTCTTCCCTGCTCCCCAAGCAAGGGCCCTGGAATCAGGCAGGTCCAGCCAGAGAGGAGCTGAGAACTTCATTCACACACCACTCCTCCCCCCACCACCCCCGGCCCTCCGCATTTAGTCCCGGCTCCCCTGGGTGCCCACCTCCCACCTCAACCCCCTTCCTTGTTGAGCCAACAGCTCGATCTTGATCTCTTGAACTGGAAGGTTGACTCCAGAGGGGCCTCCTCTGAAAGCCAATGCTAATCCGGTTAGGGCCCAGGCTGGGCGCTGCACTCCCTCTGTAGGACCAAGTGCAAGTGAAAAAATGCCAATTACCAGATGACAAAAAGGGTCCCTTGCCCCTGGGGAAGGGCGAGCTAGGGGAGGGGCGGGAGGGGCAGAGTAACTGAACACCTTGCCGGAAATAGCTCCTATCAGTCCACTTAGGGAGCCATCAGCCCTGGCAGATTTATGGGCGGCGTGTGCCCCTCTGATAGATCGGACTATTTAAAGGCAGCCGAAGCCTCCATTTATATCCATGTGGGGCAGAGAGGGCAGCTGAGAGGCTGTGCGGTGGGGAACGAGAAGCGGCGATAGGGGGCCAGCCCCAGGTGGAACTGCAGACCAGCAACTGTCTTCAGATGCTGCTGGCCGGGGAGATCGGGGCTCAGCGAGGGGTGGGAGTCGCCCAGGTCTAGTCCCACAGGCTCCCAGGGAGGCGCTGGCCAGGGACCCGGGCTTCACAGGGCCCCAGCAGCATCTCGTTCCCAGTCCAAAGCCAGCCTCTTTGCAAGCCGGTCCAGCTCAAATGGGTAGCTCGGGCTAATCCTGAAGAGGGGCTCCTGATTGGATTTCCAGCCGGTGCCCACCCTCCCCCGCTGCGGGGCATGCTTGCCCTCCATGCAACCTCCCCTTGCCTGGGCTGAGGGAGAAGGAAGGGGTAATCGTGTTAGGCTGGGGGCATTAGCTGCTGAGGAATGGGCCTGCTGCCTCCTGCCTGCTTGTCCCCAGCCTGCACTTCCTGGGGGCAGATTAAGCGGCTCCCACTGCTCTCTGGGGCTCTGCCTGGGCCTTGTTCCCTAACTCCATTACTCCCCGGCTGAGGTGCTTGCCCGGCCCATGGTGGTCCCTCTGATAATTCACCTCTCAGGAAACTGCCTTTCTGACCTCTCCCTGCCTCCCCCTCCCTCCTGCTTTGCTTCTCCCCCAGGCTTCCAGATCTGTGCCTAACCGGTCTTGTTCTCTGGGCACAGTGGTAAACCTGCCATAAATTACCAGCATCTTCCTAGGCACAGACAGCTGTCAGTTGGTTGGTTACTGATTCACTCATTCATGCATTCACTGAATACTAACGGAGCACAGAGGATACAGAGATGATGCAGGGGGAGTCCCTGTTCTGGAGGAACTCACGATCCCAGGCAGGTAACAAGGGGACAGCAGAACTGGATGTATGTGAGCTAGAGCTCTCCCGGCCATACGGGGCGTGGAGAACACAGCAGTGAGGCAGGCAAGCAGAATACTGGTTATTCTCAGCCTTGGCTACATGAAATAATTAACGGGGCAGGGCACACGGGGTGGGGTGGGGGCTTTAAAAATGCTTATGCCCAGGCCTCATCGAGACCCGTTAAATCAGAATCTCTGGGGAGAGATCCAATGAGCAGACTTTTGTATTTTTTTAAAGACCTACCTAACTAGGGGATACCCACGCTCAGCCAAGGTTGAAAACCATGGATTTAGGAGCGAGCATTGAGCCTAGAGGTGAGGATGCGGGCACCCTGCATTGCAGTTCCTAGGTTTCATTCCCACCTCCGGCTCCTGACTCCAGCTTCCTGCTGCTGCAGACCACAGGAGGCAGCAGTGGTGACTCAGGGAATCAAATCACTGCCACATGGAGACCTGGATTGAGTGCCCGGCTCCCAGCTTCAGCCCGGCCCAGCTCCGGTCTTTGTAGACATTTGGGGAGTAAACGAATACACTGGAGTTCTCTCTTTTTGTCTCTCTTCCTCTTATATAAATAAATAAAGCAAGCAATTTAATTCATCTGATGAAATATTGATAATAATAATAACCCATTGAGTTAAAGGCTATTGCAGTAGCCCAGACAAAGAGATGACAGTAACCTGAGCAAGCGTGGCAATAATAAAGGTGGAAGGGAGAGAGGAATTTGAGAAATAGTTCTTTTATTAACTATTTTTAACACTTAACAGTCTCTGGCTCCCCATTCATCTCCTGCTCCCACCATTCTCAGAAGATGACCTCAATTACAGCTTCCCAGAGGCTGGGTGAAACACCACAGGCCCGTGCGTCCTTGAAGCAGGCGTCACTTCCGAACGGGCCGGGCCAGCAAAGCTCCCACAGGGCGGGCAACTAACGCTGCTGAGCGGCACTGAACCTAGTGGGCGTCTCCGACTCTGGAGAGAGAGGTGCAGGAACGACTGGGATCTGCAGACATCAGCCTCAAGCGATGTTAAAGAGCTTTATTAGAAGAGGAGTCTGGGAGCAAGACCAAGAGGAAGGCGCAGAGAAGTTAGGAAAGGGGGTGGAGGAAGAGGCGAACAAACTATCCAGCTTCATGCCAGGGCCACCTGGGCACCTGGCACCTGTTAGCACATGGGATGTGCCCATGTAGGGCAGCACCACAAGCTTTCCAAGGAGGCACTGTGGCCTCGGATGGGGAAACAGGTCCAGAGAATGTAACTCGCCTAAGGCGTGATTAGGAAATGCAAACTCAGAAGCTGAGATCTGAAACCGTGTCTGTCCAGCTCCCAGCATCTGGCACTACGTCACACTACAGGAAACAGCAGTGTCACAGGACCTGGGGTCAAAGAAGTTCAAGTCCGAGGGAGGACACAACAACACCGAATGCAGAGGCTCTCCTACTTCCTGTTCACCTGGACCCACTTCCCTGCACAGCCTTGAAAAAGGCACGGCAATCAGCCCCAAGTCCCCAGCCGTTCTGGCCGTAGCCCCTTCAGCCACCTGCAGCAGCAGGGCCCGAACAGCACTGGGGGCCCCGCCTCCGCCTCAGCTCAGCCCAATTCCAGGAGGCTCGATGAGGACAACTCCAGCCCGGCCTTGCTCCTGAGGACCCAAGCCCTTGTGGGAAAGCAGGCTGCCTCCCTTCCACCCCATTCACAAAAATCCTTCTGATTCAACCACGCCCACTCACCCCTTCTTGGAGATGCATCCCCCAACTTCTCCCTACTCCCCTGGCCTCCAGAAGTGCTTCAACCTGACAGGTTCTCATCACAGCACCTCCCCTGGGGCCAGGAATGTCTGGCATTCCCAGGGAACTGGAGCCTTAACCCCTAGTTGAGGAGGTTCTGGGTAAGGACCCGATAACAGGGCGACAAATCAGGAGAGCAAAAACTCTAGGAGCAAGATGGAAAGGGACAGTGGTGGGAGTGGGAGTGGGTGAAAGGCCCAGGCAGTGAACAGGGCTCCAGGCTTCCAAGCAACAACTTGCAAAGAGCCCTTGGGGGCACACGGGGGCTCCTGCCTCCCTTTTTTGGGCTTCCCTGAGCTGAGCATGTTCCAGTCCCCTCCAGCACCTTGCACTGGACCTCTGCAATTGTCTGGGGCCTGCTGAGGCTGAAGCCCACACTGAAACAGTGGCAGCAACAACATGGCTAGAGGAGACTGAAGGCGCTCCTATATCTTTGCTCAGGAAATGGCCTCGTAAAAGTGACAGGGAGACGCACCTATGGATGCTTGTTAAAGTTTTATTACTAATCACCTCCAAAGTCAGCGAGGCAGAGGGAGGGAGCTGGCAATGGAGTCATCAGGCAGGCAGCAGGTGCCAGCAGCCGCAGCGGGGCGGGGCGGGGGGTGGACAGGCACTGAGGCTGGGCTCCCTGCAGGGCTGTCAGGGCCTCAGCTCCCCACACTGCTCTGGGCACACCCGGATGAAGCCTTTGTGTGCCCTCCGCTCCCCTTAAGAAAGGGGCACCTCTTCATGTAATTCCATGTCTGGCAGGCCACCAGGCACGTTCAGACTCCTGCTGAGCCATCGCACCCCCTTCCCAGTGACACCGCCCTAGTCAGACGCCACCATCTCCCACTCAGACCACTGCCTTTGCTTCTTTTGTGTTGGCATAACAAAATACCAGAAGCTACTTTAGATAGGTGATGGGTAGATAATAAAAGATGTACTTGGCTCACAATGCTGCTGGCTGGACCACCACACAGTGGAGAAACAGAAAGGGAAATGGCTTTGTAGGGAAGGGGCCAACTGCGTGGGGCGGCCTCACTGTAAAGCCAACTCCATCCCAAGGAAGTTACTCACGCCAGGGAGATGAGACCAGTGCCCTAGTTCTTCTCACTAGGCCCCGCCTCGTACGGACTGCACCCCCTCTCAACACTGCCATGTTGGGGACCAAGCCTTCAGCAGAGGCTCCTCTGGGGGACACACCACACCCAGCCACAGCAGCCCCGAGAGGCCCCCAATGAGGCCCGTGTTGGGTTGGCCCCTAGAAAATCCTTCCATGGTGTGTTCAAGTGATCTTTCCCCCTCAATGACCTCCCACAGTGAGTCTAACTCCTCAACTTGATGGGAAATTCTCCCAGCATCTGGGCCCTGCCCTACTCTGTGACCCCCTCCCCCACCATTCCCCTTCTGTGGCTCCACCACTTGCACTTCTGCTCAAATCCATGTTTCTCTGCCTGGAGCGTCCTGCTCCCCGAATGCTTGGGAACCACAGGTTCTTTCCTGAAGACTCAGCTCAAACATCCTCATCAGGGTTCCCTCGGCACGGTTCCATCACCAGCTGTTTGCACGTGTGCCTCACAGACTGCAAACTTCTCTAGGGCAGGATTCTGTAGCCCCAGGAGTCCAGCTTGGCATCGTTACTGGCTGAACGAAAGAACTGATGAAGAATGGTTATGACATGTACATTGCACAAGGCTGCACCCTGCACGGCGGGTAGACACTTCCATGGCCTCATTCACCCTGGCGACCCCTGGGCTCATATAGTGCCTGGCCTGTAACAGGGGCTCAACAACTCTCAGTGGAATAAACGAGGATTAAAATTAGACCATGTATGAAAACATGTGGATACTTTAAAACACCCTGGGCCGGCGCCGCGGCTCACTAGGCTAATCCTCTGCCTTGCGGCGCCGGCACACCGGGTTCTAGTCCTGGTCGGGGCGCCGGATTCTGTCCTGGTTGCCCCTCTTCCAGGCCAGCTCTCTGCTGTGGCCAGGGAGTGCAGTGGAGGATGGCCCAAGTACTTGGGCCCTGCACCCCATGGGAGACCAGGATAAGTACCTGGCTCCTGCCATCGGATCAGTGTGGTGTGCTGGTCGCAGCGCGCTGGCCACGGCGGCCATTGGAGGGTGAACCAACGGCAAAGGAAGACCTTTCTCCCTGTCTCTCTCTCTCTCACTGTCCACTCTGCCTGTCAACAACAACAACAACAACAACAACACCCTGACACTGTTTCATGGTTCTGTCCCCACATACTTCCTGCCAGCACTCCTTTTCTCTTTTAAATATTTTTCTTTTTTTAATTTGAAGGGCAGAGTTACAGAGAGAGACTGATCTATCTACTGGTTCACTCCCCAAATGGCTGCCAACAGCCAGGCCAAAGCCAGGAGTTGGGAGCTAGGCGCTAGGAGCTTCTTCTAGGTCTCCCACATGGGTGCAGGGGCCCAAGAGCCATCTTCCACTGCTTTCCCAGGCACATTAGCAGGGAGCTGGATCGGAAGTGGAACAGCCGGGACTTGAACCAGCGTCCATATAGGATGCTGATACTGCAGGCAGCAGCTTTACCTGCTACGCCACAGTGCCGACCCCCCTTTCTCTTATCCATTTATTCGCACCACTTCTACTCTTTATGTGCCATACTAATGAAGGCGAGAAAGACTCTGAAGAGACTGGAAGTCTTGAGGCTGCTTCTCCTGATGGGGAAACAGCGCCTGCCTCTCCAAGAGTCACATCACAATTGTTCCCCTTGCTAGCGTCTGAATGGCAGAGAAGGGGCAGTCCCTTCACGCATTCAATCCGCAGCTTGCACGTAGGAAGCCCTTCTCCAGGGCCAGGCTCCTCGGTGCTGGGGGTGCAGGGTGGTTCAGACCTAGTTCTGCTCACCAGGAGCTCTCACATGTCATCAGGTGGTGACAGTCCTGTTAAAGGCCCCTACTTGGGAGCTCTGAGCTCTGCCGAGGAGGACAGAAGCCCGGAAGCCCAGAGGGTGCTCAGGGAGTCATGGCTCTGCCTGGGCTGAGGGAGCTTCTGCTCCCACCCTGGGAAAAGACCTTCCCAGAGGGA